CCCCTGGAATTTGAAGAGTGGGTTTCAGTGGAGTGCAAGCACATGACAGTTAAAGGACCCTGGTGGTCAGAGAGAGTGGTGAAGAGGCTAGGACTTTTATTATAGAGTAGCAAAGTGCAAGGTATGACCAGCATCTCACTTTAAATGGAGGGGAGGGTTGGGTCCCTGGAGTTGAAAGGATCAAGAAACTATGAATTGTTTACCAGAATCATCCATGTGGACACGCTTACAGTAAGGATGGCAATCACAAGGTGGGTTGCAGGAAGGAGATGACAGCGATAAGCAGTGGGGTGGGGTTGAATAATGTCATGAATCTCAAGGTCCAGGGGATGTAGCAGGTGACTGGAGAGTGAACATGAGGAATGTAGATCAGAGGGGTGTTGACTCCAACTCCAAGCATTTTAAATGTCCCAAAGAAGATGTGGTGTGTATACACACACACACATACACACACACGAATATTCCTCAGCCGTTAACAAGAATGGAATCTTGCCATTGGCAACAACGTGGATGGAATGGATGGACCTAGATTGTATTGTACTGAGTGAAATAAGTCAAACAAAGACAAATACCATCTGATTTCACTGATATGTGGAATCTAAATATGATAATGATAAAATAACAAATACAAAACCAGGAACAGTCTCATAAATCCAGAGAACAAAGTGGTGGTTGCCAGCAGGGAGGGGGATCAGGGTCGGTGAAATAGATGAAGAGGAGTAAGACACACAAACCTCCAGTTGTATAATAATTAAGTGACGAGGACGACAAGAATTGCGTAGGGGAGATAGTTAACAATATTGTAATGGCACTGCATGGGGACAGATGGTGAGCACTGCATAATGTACAGAGTTGTTGAATCACTATGTTGTACTCCGAAACTGATACAATATTGCATGTCAAACATACTTCGATAAAAAAAATAAAATAAAAAGGAAGAAAAAAGCATTCTCTTCTACTTACATGTAACTCGAGTCAATATCTATTAGCATGTAAGAAAAATCAGTGGTTATAATACCTTTTTTAAGTTTATATAAACTTTATGACAAAATGATACTTGTACTTTTCTATTCATTTTCTTACCCATGGCAGTGATTTTTAAAGGATTCAATTCTTAAGTAATCTCTACACCCAACATGGGGCTCAGACTCACAACCCCAAGATCAAGAGTTGCATCTGAAGGAGCCAGAGAGGCGCCTACCCAAAACAGTGAATTTAACCTAGGATACGACAAGTAACTGCTTATAATGGCTATGAGTAAGACCAGACTTACCTTCATATATTCACATAGTCTAGAGAATGTAATCCAGAAGAAATAAAAAAGGAAAAGAAATAAGCCAGATAGAAAATGACCACCTGGAGCCCCCTTCCTCCAGAAATACCAGACATAACCTCTGCTGAGAATGGTTAGGAAAGCTGAATACATAATGAAGAGGCAAATCTTTCAAGGCAACGGAGAATAATATAAGGCAGCCAGGATTTTAGAAGATAGAAGTCAAAGAAGAACAGATATGCATTAAGATGAATCTCATTCATATTTCATAAATCATTTTCCCCTGGGGGCATTTTCTAATTCTCAGTTTAGGGCATTCTGGCAGACAGATATCAGTGACTCAGAGAATATGGTTTTGGGAGACATGGGGTGTGGGGGCCCCTGAACTGGGCTATCAAAACACTGAGGACTTGAGGGTCCAAGTTTTCAAGGAAGAGGGAATTACCAGAAAACAAGCCTGGCATCTGCTTGGCTTTGGTCCTTGGTGCATTTGCCTAACTTTCCCAGGATTAGAAGCAAAGAACCCAAGCAAAAAATTGCTGCTACAGATCTACAGAGCTCAGCAGAACTTTTGGAATTTTCAAGGCTAAGACGACAAAGATGGTGTCCAGGACCTATTTTTTTTAAGGAGATCTACTAGTAAATATATTCTCTGGATTGTGACATAAGAAGGGGTGAGCACTGGGAAAACCACATGCTGGAAATGCAGATGAGAATCATTCCAATGCCTGAATGGTTCAAGGTTGTCACTCCACTGTCAGAAGAAAATTAAATACTCTCAGGGGAAGGTAATAGTATACATGACTTCTAGGTTGGCTTATACACAATGTCTGGCATTTAATCAAAAATTACCTGAAATGTCCAGAAACAGTGCCCAATGACTCCAATCCAGGAGAGAGAGAATAGAAAAAGAACCAGATACCCAGACATTGCAGTTAACACTCAGGGACTCCGATAATTAACTATGATTTATACATTTAAAAAATAAATGAAATAATCAAGAATTTTACCAGAAAACTGTAATATATAACAACAAGTCAAATGGAAGTTTAAGAACTGAACAACACAATATCTGCTATAATTACCTCAATCTATGTGGTTTGAACTGGAAGATAGTTTAGTAAAAAATATTCCAGCTGAATCAGGGAAAAATGCACAGAAATGATGGGTATACTTGGAGTTCTGGAAGAAAGAGAGTGACCAATATTTGAAAACATTATTACTAAGAACTCTCCAATACTGACAACAGACATCAAGGTAGAGATTCATGAAATTCCATAAGCCAGTCAGGATAATATAAAGAAAACCTCACACTGGCATATTACAGTAAATCTGCTGCAAAACAGGACAAGGAAATATCTTAAAATCAGTATAAGCAAAGAAATATTTCAAAAGAGCAAATATAAGACTGATAGAATGCTTCTCAATATAAACAACAGAAATAAAAAGACAGCAGAATAACATATTTGAAGTGTTGGGGGGAAGAAAAGCTATCAGGTAAGGTTAAGTCAAAGATAATTAACCAATCAAAAAAGGAAAACCAGGAAAAATGAACTTTCATTTATCATGAAATTATATTCTAAATAAAAGGTGAAATTCTCTGATTAGATGAAATAGTGTAAATAAAGTATAAAAATAATACAAATCAATTATATGATGCTTACAAGAGTCACATACGCAATGTATATACGTAGAGTAACTTGAAAGTAAAAGGTTAGGAAAAGATGCTTCTGGTAAGGACTAACAAAAAGAAGAAAAATGTTGTGGCTTTATAGTCATAAGTCAAAGTAAACAGACATTTACTGTAGACATTTATGTTCTGTTCACTTTTTGGTATGTTGCACTTCAATAGAAGGCATGCATAAGCAAGAAAATAAGTCTCTTCAAACCAAACAAGCAAATAAAACACCAAATATAAAAGAACAATCTCTCTAACAAAGAAAAATCTTCAAAAAGAAATATAGTTTTCGGGGCTGCACATTACTCACTGAAATTCTGTGTTTTGTTTTGTTTTTTTTTCCAACTGGTGTGTAACGTTGCATGAGTTACTTCCCATATAATGACGATTGTTCATCTTCCTTTGGGAAAGCAGGTTTACTGTACTGCCCCAGGTGAGTGTATTGGGTTGATAGACAAATGGTATGATTGATGGGGCGAATCATGTGTTCATATTCCGGAAAGTACTTTGCTGAAAGCAAAGCTTCCTATTTGATTGGAGACATTTATTTTGGTTGAATTGATTTTCTTCTTACCCTTTTTCTATTTCAACATGCTTTTTTGTCAGCATCTTGAGTTCAGTCAGTGGATTTAGTGTTTCTTTGTGCTGGCTGATAGCGGCCCCTCTGTGACTATTTTATTTACACGCAGTGCATGCTTCGTTGAAACTTCCATTTGGTGTGACTTGGACATTGATATGCAGAGGGAAAGTTCAATAAAGTCGCCAAATCTATTTCAGCCATGCATGCTGTTCTTCTTGTCAATATTTTCTTAATATATGGCTACTTTGGTTTTGTGTGTGTGTGTGTGTGTGTGTGTGAATTGTTTTATTTCATAACAAAATTAAGAGGAAGAAACAGATACAGTCCATGTAATCCCCTGTCTCCTTACACACAGTTTTTCCCACTATCAACAGTCCCCACCAGTTGGTACATTTGTTACAATTAAGGAAACCACACTGACACATCATTATCACCCCAAATTCATAGTTTGTATTGAGATTCACTCGTGCTACTTTATATTCTGTGGGTTTGGACCAACACATAAAGACATGTATTGACCATTACAGTATCATATAAGGTAGTTTCACTGCCCTAAAACTCATCCTGTTCTCCACCTCTTCATCCCTCCTCTTACCCCAGGCAACCTCTGATATATTTTTTTTAAAGATTTATTTATTTATTTGAGAGAGCGAGAATGAGAGAGAGAGTACATGAGGGGGGGAGGGTCAGAGGGAGAAGCAGGCTCCTCACTGAGCAGGGAGCCCGATGCGGGACTCGATCCCAGGACTCCAGGATCGTGACCTGAGCCGAAGGCAGGCGCCCAACCACCTGAGCCACCCAGGTGCCCAACCTCTGATATTTTTTTACTGTCTCCATAGTTTTGCCGTTTCCAGAATGACATAGAGTTGGAATCACACAGTACGTAGCTTAAGTTTCTTTTCATGGCTTGGTAAAATCAGCTCATTTCTTTTTAGTGCTGAATAATATTCCATCCTATGATGTATTCCTCAAAGATATTTTGTGGTAAAGGTACATGATAATTTCAAAGTAGAAAATCTAAGCATTTTGTGAATGAACCAGAACATTCCTCAGCTTACAGATGTTGATGGTGTGATGTTATTCATGTTGATAGTGTGACGTTGTACAACCCATACAGCAATAAGATATCCCTCTCCTTCACATGGGATCACCAGCTGTTCCGGGTTCAGGACTAAAAGTCCTGCACCTGGAGAAGCCCTTCAGTTCCGGACAAATAAGATGGTTGGTCACCCTAAGTCAGTTTTTGAAATTGAAGATGTACATTTTCAAACAGAGAAGAGAATAATTACTATAAAATGCCTGTAATGTTGAGGATTAAATATAAGTATAAATTGCGAGTGACTATGGATTCTTCAAAGGAGGGTCTTAAGGTATACTTGTTTGTTTAAGCAGCAGGACCGTCTTCTTCAAGGTAAAGTAGAGATATTTGATGATTCAATTAATGGTTTTAACATTTGTCTTCTGTGCAGACTCACTGGGTCCAGCGTTCCTGACCTCATTGTGAGCATGAGCAACCAGATGTGGCTCCACCTGCAGTCCGATGATAGCATTGCCTCCCCTGGATTTAAAGCTGTCTACCAAGGTATGCCCAAGCACACCCACCAACGCTTAAAACTAATAACACTTACAGAGGGCAAGGACCATTCTCCATTGTGTTAGATAGACATAAAATCGGAATGTTGTAAAATAGGGACTGGTTATTTGCAATTTCTTTAATTAAAGCTTCACTTATAGTTCTTTTTTTTGGGAAAGAATTTTTCACTTGTTGAAAGCTTGGCTTGCCCTGATGTGTGCCGTCATTAGATCAAAATCAAGAGTAAGACTAAGTATGAATGCAAGTTATAAAATAATTGTGCACACCTGTGGATCTTGGCATTTTGTCTCTTCCTGAGGGGCAAGTTGTTATGCCTATTAACGAGGGGATACATTTTAAACAGTGAATCAAAGTGGCATTAATTTAGTTAAGCTCCATTGTGTACATGCTCATGTTCAAATGTGTGCGGTTGTTGTTTGTTGTTGTTTCAATGGAAAACAGAGAAATCTATATGAAGTTGGAGAAAATTTTTACCAAGTTCTCGTGTAGAGGGAAAAATAAATGTTGTTTGGGAGTTATGAGTTATAATTACTCTGGAGATGTTGGATTCACCTCTGAATTCATGTCCAGGAGCCATCATATCAGGGAAGGGTTTTCCATCATGCAGTACAGCTGTGTGTTCCCATAAACCAGGGCCTCATGTGGGACATCTTTTAAAATAATCCCACTATATTGCTCTACCTACATTGTTTCATCTGGAAGGATCTCATAGGTGAGAGGTATCTTTTAACCTTACATACTGATTGGTATTTTTTAAAAAAATTATTGGGGAAAATTTCATAATGGAAACTGAAGTAGAAAGAACAATATAAGAAACCGGAAAGGATCTATATTTGTAAATTTTATAAGCCTCCCAGCTATTTTGCTATTGGCTCAAGAACTGGCTTGAGAGATAGCTGCCTGACCCCCATGCTCTTCTAGATTGCCAGCCTCATCTCAGTCCTGCTTCTGCTCAAGTATCCTGGAGCATTCTTTGGGAAACCAATCATATTTCCTACAGTTAGACACTCCCCCAAAATACTAGATGCATACACAAATCTTAATTCAATAATTACCTGTTTAAAAAGTAGACTTCTCCCTTTCCCCAAAAGAGAAAAAAAAGAACCTCCCCCTTCCCCCTCAAATCAGCAGGTCAACCAGCTGGCCCTTCAATCCGGGTCTCGTGAGATTCAGTTCAAGTAGGCCCTCCTGTACACGTCTGCTCTGACGGTGAATGGGCAACAGCCAGCTACTAGCTAGGTACCACTTCGGTCTCTCAGAGAACACCATCACCTTTGGCTTGATCTCTCCTGAGTTCCAGAGGTGGCAAATACCAGAGAGTGAACTAAGGGAGAAAGGTAGTCTTTGTCTGGAATGCAAAGGACAAAAATGAGCTTCATAATATCCAGACCTCAGGGCACCGAGAAGAGCTATACATAGGCACCTCTGTTTTAACTGGCAACACACACATGTGCACACATACACTGACCATTTTCCCTGAGCTACACTCTTTGGTGTTCTTGAGATCAGTAGTCAAACAGTTTGACTCAAGAAATAAACATGAAAGAGGCTTGGGAACATGTTCACTTCTTCTTTTGGATTATACAAGTGATGGGTGAAGAGCCTCTATCTTCAGTTTAGATCCTGTATGTATTTGACAAAGACAAAGAAATCATTCTCTCATGCTCAGAGACTACATATGTGTCCCCAGACACAATAAAATGATCTCCGATTAAAATGTTTTACAAATTATTTTATAAAACTACTTATTTATAAAACTTAAAGGGTATATTTCAGCTATCATTTGCATTTGATGCCGTACTTTCAACAAGCCACAAACTGATTTGAAATCATTTTCAACAAGATCGAGAGAACATTTTACGGTCTCGGATGCAAGTTAAGAGAAGTCTTTTCAGGGTCAACTTTATACTGTCAGACAAATGCCTGTGAACTGATCGTCACTTTCTCAGAATAACCAGGAAATTGCATTTTAAACCCATTCATATATTTTTGTTACTACAAAAAATCAATTATTAAAAAGAAACTATTTAAACTATAATCTAAGAAGATATACAGTGGCCATTCAGAATAAAACATAAGTCTGTGTTTTACATAACGATGTGCATTTTCCAAAACTTAGATGCTTTCCATAAGTAAGGTATCAAAATTTTAGAGAACAAATTACAAAATACTGTGATACAATAAAAGTGGTGATGATTTTACTTGGATTATTTTGCTGGAGAGGAGACGTTAAAAAGAAAGAAATAATTAATTTGTAAGTTTTATTGTCAGGAAAACTTTTGAAGTTCCCCTGGGCAAAGGAAAAAAAAAATTAGTTATCCTTTCTTTTCTAGCACACTCTTCATGGTTAAAGGATGGGGTAACAGTTTGTGCTTTTCATCGTCCTTGAGCTATTTTACTACTCGGAAGGTTGTAGAAAACTGATAGCAAGCAGATGATCCCTGACCACGGAAACACACGTGAACTCTGTGGGGAGGAAACACCACTGATGATTGCCCAGTGGCTAAAGATGACTTTGGCATCTCTTATCAAATTCATGTCAGTGTTGCTAATTGTCTTTGTGGGTGTGTCCTTGGAATTCTCCTTTGAGATGGTTTTTCGAATATCTTAGAGGTTCCTTCACCAGTTGCTGAGTCTATTAAAATCTTTAACAGGACCTGTATGTGCGTGTATTGATGAAAGTGAGACAAACAGATTTGCAGAGTTAGAATTTTATTTTCTTCAATTGTACTTTATGAATTTGAATAAAGGGAGAGTATGCCTCATTTTCTAAGGGTGTATCATAGAATATTCAGGAGCTGAAAATATGTAATGAGAAGTTATTGCCTATCAAGCCAATGAGGCAGATGGTCAACAAGCTTCTTCCAACCCCAAACAATAAACAGGCTGACCGTGACAGTGTCCTGAGCAAGACTGAGCCCAGGCTGGTACACCGCACACTCCCTGTGAGCTTCCGTGGTCATGGCACTAAAAAGTTCTATGGTGGCTAGGGTGCCTGGGTGGCTCAGTTGTTAAGCATCTGCCTTTGGCTCAGGTCGTGATCCCAGGGTCCTGGGATCGAGCCCCGCATCGGGCTCCCTGCTCTGTGGGAAGCCTGCTTCTCCCTCTCCCACTCCCCCTGCTTTTGTTACCTCTCTCGCTGGGTCTCTGTCAAATAAATAAATAAAATCTTAAAAAAAAGAGAAAGTTCTATGGTGGGGAGAGCCCAGTATCAGTGTCTTTATCTGTAAGCTGTGAAAGATTCTTCCTCCCTAGAAAAACGGGGTGAGATTGGGGGACTGATGGCTCTTCTCAATAAGAAATGATTCGACAGAAATGATGGGTACATCTCATTCAAAGGTTAGGGCTCGAATGCACAGATAATTGCGGAATACCTCCTGACATTTGGATAGTTAGCGTTGACCTTTAACTGGACTTCTACACAACCGTACAGTCTTCAAGGAAGCAGGGTAGAGGTAGAATCCTTTCCACATGACTTATTCTGGCTACTGCCTTTGGTGAAATCCAAAAGCATCAGTGAAATACCAAACACTTCCCAACAGGGCAAACTGCAGTAAATTAACTCCGGCCACATTAAGACACACATCATAAGGTTTATAGGACGAAGACTAAAGGGGCTAGATCATTGCCAAATCGTGGATCCTTGACTATTAAGAGATAGAAGTTTTCTCAATTAAAATATAAATATTCTTCCAAGTATCATATTTCAGTTTGAATGACCCTACAGCATTAATTATAATTACATTGAGCTGTAATTAGTACTCTGTTTACCAGCTCAATAGTGTATTAATAGCTATAGCTTGAGATGTCACAGAAAGGTAGATGGCCATCAATCCTTGACAGATTGCCAATTCAAGGCCACGTATTATCTTTCGACAAAATAATATTCCAAAAGTCAAAAAGATAATTAAAGAGCTAATATAATATCTGAGGATTTAAAAAATCTAGAGAATCCTAAATATCAAAAGAAAGCATTGTAGAAATTATTTCCAGAGTGCTATATTAAGCTAACAGGGATAAGATAAAAAACACTTGTAAAGGTTATTGTCAAAAATATAAATAATTGCATTATTTAAACTACAGTTGTTTGCGTGCCTGGGTGGCTCAGTCGTTAAGCATCTGCCTCTGGCTCAGGTCACGATCCCAGGGTCCTGGGATTGAGCCCCGCATCGGGCTCCCTGCTCAGCGGGGAGCCTGCTTCTCCCTCTCCCACTCCCCCTGCTTGTGTTCCCTCTCTCGCTGTATCTCTCTCTGTCAAATAAATAAATAAAATCTTTAAAAAATAAAATAAAAAATAAACTATAGTTGTTTGTTAATTATATTGTCAGAAAAAATATATGTAGTTGATAGTTGCACATGATTTAACTTCCCAGTTTTTTTTTTTTTTTAAGATTCTATTTCTTTATTTAGAGAGAGAGAGAGCAAGCAGGGGGTGGGCAGTGAGAGAGAGGCTCTCAAGCCAACTCCCCACTAATGCAGAGCCCAACATGGGGCTTTATCTCATGACCCGAGGTCATGACCTAAGCCAAAATCAAGGTTCAGACGCTTAAATGACTGAGCCCCCCAGGCACCCCAAACCTCCAGGTTTTAGTATTGCATGGCTTTAACTAACGTACAGTGTGGGTTAAGAACACAGGCTGTGTACCACCTACTAGGTGTTTAACTGAGAACAAGTTGTTTAAACTCTTTGTGCAGCAGATTCCTCATTTAGAAAAAGGGACAATAGAGTAATGACATTTGCTTCCTAAGTCTGTTGTTACAGAGCTCAAATGACTTAAAACATGGAAATCCCATAGCACATGGAGTAGGAAATGCTAGCTAGTATTTGCATACATGTTTTCTTTGTTAATTTTGAGATTTTCCTCTAAGTAAGGTTTTTCATTATATAAATATCAGCGCTCATAATAAAATATGTAAGAATAGTAAGTGTTCCTTCCCTTTGCCTTTTGACTTGGCCAGGTAACTTTCTCAAAGGCATGTCTCTCAGC